AAAAATTGATTTTAATCTAAAAACAGAAAGTAGTTTAACTACTCCCATAACTCGTGCAATCCACAAATGCAAAATAATACAGTATTCCCTAAAACATAGATCTGCAAAATACAATATTTTAATCTCATAATTATCTGTTCTAGTTCGGTAGTCCCCATCTCATTTTCTTCTCAAATCAAAGTGAAAGATATAGTATAATCTTATAATCTATTAAATTAATAACTCGTGAAAAAAAAAAAAAAGAACATCTTCTAAAGAATTTAATTTTTTTTCCTAAAAAAATAAGGAGTGAGAACTATGAAGCATGAAGTAATGAGCTCTATTTTCCTTCTTTCTCACCCCTCATTTGACAAATTTTTGCAGGGTAGGGGAAACTGGAAAGTGATCACATTCTTCCCTCCAGACGGGTGTATATTTTTACTTTTATCCCTTCAACAACATTAAACAACATATAATAAAATGTTAGGTTTACTGACTATAGTGTGATTCTACAAACTAACATTTACAATATTATAACTTCTCCTCGTGGGAAATAATTTATTTGTAATTAAAAAAAGTAAGTGAACTTTTAAATATGATATAAACATTCAACTTAAAGTGAATATTTGTTTATAAAGTACTAATTAATTTTTTTTAATTAATCGATGTAAGATTCGTTACTTTAATTATAATGATTTTATGTTTTTGTATCTACAAAATAAATCCATGAAAGAGATACAAAGGGTACCTCGACTTTTTATATGAATATTCTTTATACAAACAGTCAAACACCATCACGTTATGACTATTAAATCCTATGCCTTTCAAAACACAAATAAAGGAACTGGACCCCATTAAATTACTAAATGAAAAGGCTAAATTCTCTTGTTTATCATTTTGGCCATACCAACGACTTGACTTGTATGAAACCAAATACTCTACGTCTCTACTTTCATCGATCTGTTCTTCTCTAAAAATGATTCCATTCCTCGCCATCCAGATAGCCCATAACACTCAACCAAAAATTAGGGATCCTACTTCTATACTTATTTTGTTGAACATTCCATAGACAAATTGTAGACACAAGTCATGGATTGAATCAGGGTATACAAAAAGCACACTCCACCGCTTGAAAACCGTCCATCCAAACTTTGTAAGAGTAATCACACTTCAAAAATAGATGGGCTGCACTGTATAATGATCTCATGTGACATAATTGTAATGTACTTTTTTATTTTAACAATTGGCATGAATCACTATATATTCAGTCATTTAATAGTTTATATTTATTGTGAAATGTTATTTGTAAGACAAGATTTTAAATTTCTAATTAAATGAATTTTGTTATGCGTATGCGTCAAGACCAATTATGTCCATATACAATCTTTAAAGTTTAAACTACTACTATAATTAAAGCATCTAATACTCCACCAATCAAACAAATACCCATAAAGTTCCCAAGCACGCCAATCGTGTCTTCCAACATTATCATGACTTTTCAATTAAAGTTTCAAAAAATATATTGAAAATTTTATCTGCATTATGCAGGATTGACTAGTTTATTCCATGCCAACAACCATTCCATGATTTTGGTCATTTTGATGGCCTTATTGGAAAACCAGTGCACTTCTAGAAAGTTTCTCTTCATTCCATTTTCCCTATATAACTGAAGAAACACATTTTTGTGCGTTACAGAGGTGTTAGCTAGAGTTCCTTCCTAAGTTCTTCCATGGCTAGAATCTTCCCAATTTTGGCTACCCAATTCACCGTCTTCTTCATCCTCTCTTTCTTCACCATAAATTTCGCCATAGGAGATGATGATACCTTTGTTAGAAGCATGGACAGGAAGCTATTAGGTGTGAAGAAAGAAAAACTCAGTCACTTCCGTCTCTACTGGCACGACATAGTCAGCGGCCGTAACCCCAGTTCAATCGCAGTTGTCCAGCCGGTGACCAATTCGTCGACCTTTTTTGGGTTGATCAGCATGATCGACAATCCCCTGACGCTGGGGCCAAAATTGAGTTCCAAGATGGTGGGAAAGGCACAAGGGTTTTACTCCTCTGCTTCGCAGGAGGGAGTCGGGCTGTTGATGGCCATGAATTTTGCTTTCATGGAAGGGAAATACAATGGAAGCACGATTACAATCCTGGGAAGGAACCCAGTGTTTGCGGAGGTGAGGGAGATGCCGGTGGTCGGAGGAAGTGGACTTTTCCGGTTTGCAAGAGGCTATGTTCAGGCAAGGACTCACTGGCTTGATAACAAGACAGGGGATGCCATTATTCGTTATGATTGTTATGTGATGCACTATTGATTATTCCTTTGAACTTTTTTTCCTTTTTTCCTTAGAACTTCTTCCACATTTAATAATTTATGGCTAAATTATTAGACGGTGGGGTTGGTTTGTTTTGTTGATTTCTTTTTCTCGAATAAACATTTGGGGTACATGTGACTCTGACATTTGTGGAAAATGATGCTTATAATATTCAAGTTAATAGGCTTCAGCAACAGGACACTGAGTTTGTGTATTTTGAGGGGGTCGTGGTAAAGTTCATTACTTTTTCATTTTTATCAGAACAATGGCCATAAGTGCCGGTCTTTGATGGCACAAGTGGTGTCTTATTCAACATCACGAGTTCACCACCGAAGACTGAAGTTTAGGCGTTGTTTGGCTCACTGCGGTGGTTT